CCAGCGCCCGAACGCCGCCCCCGGCCCTGCGCCTCTGCGAGCCCCGCGCGCCCGCGTCCTGCGCGGCGCTGTCCCCGTGACACCCGGACGTCGTCGCCCGCTGCTAGGTGTCCCACGCCCGGGAGCTACAAAGGCGGGAGGTGCCCGGGAGCAGTGCCACCGTGAGCAGCTGAGACTCGTGGACACGTAGCCCTTGGCCAGGGTAACCGCCAAGTCGCCGGGGCGCCCCTTGTGTCCAGGGCACCTCGACCCGGGAGACGTGCGTCAGCATTTCCCCGGGCTCTTGTGTCCCTCCTGGTGTGCGATGAGTGAGCGTTCCATGCATTGAGAACCCCGTGACCCTGACAACCTGCAGTTTGCTTGGTCTCTTCCCCCGCCTGATTTCTGACGGTGGGTGAAGCCAAACACGTTATATTCCATTTTCCTGAGAGGTGTAATGGAAGGGGGACATTTCACCGTCGCATCCTCTGGTATGCCTTAGAAAATAAACTTCTGACTGGCCGCAGTACCTCACACTTGTAATCCCAGAGCTTTGGGAGGATTGCTTGAGGCCAGGAGTTCAAGACCAGTCTGAGCAACATGGCAAGACCATGTTTCCACAAAAACAAAGAAACTAATTAATTAAAAAATGCATTAATTAAATAATAAAAATTAGCCAGGTGTGGTGGTGTGCACCTGTAGTCCCAGCTACTCGGAAGGCTGAGGCAGGAGAATTACCTGAGCCCAGGAGTGTGAGACTGCAGTGACCTATGATCATGCCCCAGCACTTCTGCCTGGACCGCAGAGCAAGACGCTGTTTTAGAAAAAAAATTATTAGACTTCATGAAGGACTATTTTGCAAAAGACGCTGCTTAAGGAAACCAATTCTGGTTGTTACTTGATCTTTTTTTTTTTTTTAATCGTGATGAAGAATTTCTCTATGGAAGGACATCAGAAGCTTCATAGAAGTACACAGAGAAAAGAGAACTTTTGCAAATAGGTTTTAAGGTTCATAGAGCCCAAATGATTTGAGTGACAATTTGCTTAACTCTCAAGCACTATGTAGAACTAGTGTCAATTTAGAGGCAGAGGAGAAAGTGAAGCTGTGACATACAATGGATGCCTTGGGGCACATGATTCTCTTCCTAATTCCCTGGATATGGAGGCCAGTACTTCAAGATCTACCACTCAGCTCTTCACTTAAAAAGGAAAGTGCAAAAGTAGTGTCTGCATGCTGCCTCTGTTTTAGATTTATAGGAGCATTCTATCCAGTGGGGAAAATCCATAGTGGCGACTTAATAAAAATATAATTAATTGAAAATTGCAGTTAAATCCTTACCAACACTAATCCTTATGAGGCAAATAGACCAATCAGGGGATTAACTCAGTGCAATGGATAGTTCCATCGGGCAGGAGGACACTTGTACATAGTGGATCTATTTGAATAACTTGGTACTTGTCCCATTGTAACCTTAAAATCCCCAAACAAATTAATAGGAACCGGAAAGAATTCTCAAGAAGACTGAGCTGTTCACTGCTAAGTGCCTAACCGCCATGTCCTTATTTATTTCTTTATTTATTTTTTAAGTAAGAAAGCAGGATTTATTGAGAGAACAGAAAAGCTCCCACAGTGGGAGGGGACCCAAAGGGGTTGCCCCAACTGCCATGTCTTTATTGTCTGTAACCCAGGAGAAAAGTCGGCTGGTTTCATTGCTGGTTGACTGTGGAGCGCTGCGCCTGGCACTCTTCTTCACTTCTGTGGTGGAATCTACCAGAGTCAAACATCCAGGTAGACACGTGGAAAGGCCACGTCTCCTTGGAGAATATCCTGATTTACTGTGGCAGCCAGCACTCTGGGGACTACCTCAGTAATGTAAATGTGCCAGTACATTCATCGCCAGAGGGAAGAGTACAAAAGGATTGGTTTTTGATGAGTTAGAAAAATGTCTCCTTGCATAATTTCCAGGGTGTGCTGAATTGTGCATAGGAGAATGATTGGGGGTGAGGGGAGCGAGGGCCCCCGGCATTCTTAAAGAAAAAGCCCTTGAAGTCAGGGGTCCCCGGCACTGGAGATGGCCACAGACATGAGCACCCGCAGTTACATCTACTCACTGAATGATGGCCTGTATTTCTTATATTCCTCATGTCCACCCAAGAGCCCTTGTGCTGGGGAGCCCATTGTGCACACTACAGGAGGACTGTGCACGTTATCCAGGCCTGGAGACGTGAACTCCCGGAAGCTGCTCACCTTTCCTGTCCACAATTTCAGACCCCGTCCACTTCCTCCAGAAACATAGGGAACCCCTATCCCCTACTATCCCCGAACTTTAATACCAGCATTTACTTGATTTGTTCCACAAGGCTTATTTTCAAATAAAGATACTTCATTTCCCTTGCATATTAAACTTTACTGCACCTCCTGGTAAAATATGGCAGCTCTTTTTCTATCCACTAAAGCTCAGTCTTCTACGCAGATGCCAATTCATTTTTGTGTCTCTGAGCAATATGTTAAATTCAATATCAGTCTTATGAACTGTCTCGTGCAAATTCACGTGTTGGGGCTCTAGCACCCAATGTGACTATATTTGAAGATGGTTCCTTTAAGGAGGTAATTAATGGCAAATAACAACATAGGTGTAGGCCCTAATCCAACAGGATTAGTGTCTGATAAGAAGAGGAGGAGACACCAGAGATGGTAAGCACAGGGGAAAGGCCACGGGAGCTGAGGAGAGTGGCCTCCCCAGAGACCACCCTGATAGTGCTTTGATCTTGAACTTCCATCCTCCAGAACTGCAAGAAAAAAAAAATGTATGTATGTGTGTCCGTGCGTGTGTGTGTGTGTGTGTGTGTGTGTGTGTGTATAGTAGATTAAACTACCCGCTGTGGGGCATTCTGTTAAGGATGCCTGAGCAGACTACAACCAACAGTCAATGAGGAGAGTTGACTCTAATCAACGTTGTTGTTTCAAATGAAGCAAATAATATTTGTCATTTGAAAGACCCCAAAGGACATGAACTCTGACTTTATGTTATTTGTTGGCTTTAAAAATGTGAGAATTTTTACTTCTATGTAATATTAATGTCATGCTGCAAAGTTTTCGATTTTGTTTTTAGTATTCCACAGACTGTTGTTTTTTAGAACTTGGGAGTTATGTAATAATTTAGAAATATTCAGAAATAGGAAGTTATTCTATTGCTAATTTCCTAGAATTTCTCTCTCTCTCTCTTTCTTTCTGAGTCTCACTCTGTCGCCCAGGCTGGAGTGCAGCGGCACACTCATGGCCACCCCAGCATTGACCTTCTGGTCTCAGTGAATTCTTCCACCTCAGCCTGCCAAGTAGCTGGAACTACAGGTGCTACCACACCCAGCTAAGTTTTTGATTTATTGTTTCACTAAGTTGTCTGCGCTGGTCTCGAGCCCGTGAGCTCAGGCAATCCACTCGTCTCGGCCTCCCAAAGTGCTGGGATTACAGGCTGAGCCACCAAGCCCGGCCTAGAATTGAATTTCATAGTTACAACCCACCTGTTATTTAATAAAGATAATATTGTGATTTAGAAAACTTAACCTTAGGAGTGATTTTTATTTAACTTGTTATTTATCTAAACAGTAACTTTGTAGATCAGCTAGTTTAAAATTGACTTCATAATAATTCACTAAATGACCTTTTGTGAATTTATAATACAGTATTTTAACATCTAAGATTGTAAATATTATTCGCCAAACTTATATTGGGGAAGGAGGGGAATGGGCTGCTTATTTTTTCATTCGTTTAAAATGTACTTTTCTAACTAAATACTCCAAATTAAACGTTGTAATGTTTTAACTTTTCATATAACCTAAGTCGATCTACATACCTTATTTGGCTCATATATAACTTAAGGAGTGACAATAAAGTTTATTTAGGAATCTAAAAAAAATGAAGGAAAATGCAAATGCCTAAAAATTAATCTCTAGCACTTAAATATAACCATTTAGCTTGACCAAAAACTTATTGGTAGTACTGAGATGTGGCCTGTAGATGGCAGTAGTTCTGCATGAGGGATTTTTTTTTTCTTTTGTAATCTTAAACTCTAAATTTCTTAATAAAAATAAATATACTTCGTTTTCTACTGTTTCTGCTCCTGCCACAAGAAGAGAAAGCTACTTAGAAATTTTACTGTGTTTTTTTGTGTTTATTTTTGATGGTGGAGAGCGTAGATATGACAGGACTCAGTCCTTTGGTGGGAAACGTCTTAGAAAGTCTGTTTCTGGATAAAGAATCAGAGTTTAAACTACGAAATGGGTTCCTCTTGGCTAGAGAGCTAAAACATTACATGGCAGTATTGTGACTCAAAACTGCTTTCAAACAATGGGCAATGGATTGAATTGTAGTGAGAGTAAACATTACCCTTTACTTTGAGGTTCAAACAGCCAACTTCAGCAGTTTATGAGAGAGAATTTTGATTTACCAACGGCTAAGATGGAAATGACACTTCCATAGATTCAAGGTGAACTCAGCTGGTTCCAGTGTAAGTCCAGTGTCTCTCTGGCTAGCAGTCACTTCACAATTCCTTACTACTCAGCTAGTTCCAGTATAAAGCCCAGCATCTCTCTGACTGGTAGTCCCTTCACGATTCCCTTCTTGCCTTTGGCTGTTCTTTTTAGGGTATGGGGCTTCTTAGTTGCAGAAGGGTTAACGTATTGTTGAGGAGCCTGCCAAGGATTAGTCTCGGTGCTTGGTTAATGGCATCTAGACACATGACTTTTCTTGGACTAGCTTGTCCCTGGTGCTCTCTGGTTGCTTCTGGCCACACTGTCAGGAACCACCCTGGCTCCATAAACTCTGAAACACCTCAGTTGCAGGGCTGCAAGAAAAATATTCAGCTTTGACCCAAAGAGCCTGTTGCAGGCTTGCCCTGCCTAGACCACCTCTAGTCGCAGGCTTGCCACACACCACCCAGCCTACCTCTGCACCTGTGGTGCAGTCACAGGAACCCTTTAGCTTTGGAACCACAGAAAAAGAAGGTGCATGTCCTGTGGTGGGGCACGGGGTGGCGACCTGAGACCCTGCCTTTGTCCTATGTGAACAGCTGTTCCTATGCTAGTCAGTGTCCTGCACTGTCCCAGGACACCCTGCAAAGCTGACTTCTCTGAGAATTCAGTGGGTGAGTCAGATCAGGGTCTCTCTGCTTTTGGATTCCCAGGCTCGTGTGGGGGTGTGGTTGTTTCCCAAGCAGGAGGTTCACCTGGTGATGGGACCATGTGTGGGAACCATGAAGGGCTTCTGATCACATTCTTCATCCTGTTTTTCTGAGTCTAACATTCCCCCATAAAACACAGAATGTCTACTTAAATTTGAATGTCCCAAATATTCTGTGGGATGTAGTAATACTAAAAAATTATTATTTGTGTAGCTGAAATTCACATTTAAATTGACATCTTGTATTTTTACTTGATAACTCTGGCAACCCTACTTGAGATAGCAAGTGCTTTGTATCCATTGTGAGAAGAGCTTTTAAACAACTAATGTGTAATTATTATTTTTTCTTTCAGAAAACACAGAACTGCAAAATCAAATGTGCCTTGGTCTTTATTATAAACAGAAAATTGTGTCTCCTTTGACCATAACCTTCAGTACCTCGGAATGTGACTGTACTTAGAAACAGAGCCTTTGAGAAGGTGATTAAGTTAGAATGAGGCTTTAAGGCAGGTCTAAATCCAATCTGACAGGTGTTGTGATGAGAAGAGGAAACAAGGACACATAAAGAGACAGTGAGGATGAGCAAACAGCAGTGAGAGGACATGGCAACAAGGAAGGTTAAGGCCATGTGCAGAGGTGGAAAAGGGTGGCCATCCACAAAACAAGATATAAGGTCGTGCCAACAAGGAGGGGCAAGGCCATGTGCAGACATGGGAGTGGGTGGCTATCACAGGCCAACAGAGGCCTAAGAAGAAACCACACTTGTGGACACCTCTATCTTGGGCATTCAGGCTCCAAGACAGACCTGAGGAGAAACTACACCTGTGGATACCTTGATCTTGGATTTCAGGATTCACGATGGGCCTCAGGAGAAACTACACCTGCAGACACATTGATCTTGGACTTCAGGATTCACGATGGGCCTCAGGAGAAACTATACCTGCAGACACATTGATCTTGGACTTCAGGATCCAAGACAGGCCTCAGAAGAAACCACACCTGTGGAAACCTTGATCTTGGACTTCAGGATCCAAGACAGGCCTCAGGAGAAAACACAGTTGTGGACACCTTGATCTTCGACATTCAGAATCCAAGACAGACCTCAGGAGAAACAACAGCTGCAGACACCTTGATCTTGGACTTCAGGATTTAAGACAGGCCTCGGGAGAAACCACAGCTGTGGACACCTTCATCTTGGACTTCGGGATCTAAGACAGGCTTCAGGAGAAACCACACCTGCAGACACGTTGATCTTGGATTTCAGGATTCAAGACAGACCTCAAAAGAAACCACTCCTTAGACACCTCAATCTTGGACTTCCAGACTCCAGACTCCAGAGCTGTGAGACATTAAATGTCTGTTGCTTAAGTCACCCATTTTGTTATGGAGTCCTAGGAAACTAATACAGCATTCAAGACTATTTCTCTATCATAAGAATCTAGAGATTGTTCTGGCATAAAAAAACAAAAATTGTCTCTCTTTTCTGCTATGGGAGATCATACCTTGAGGTCTGGGCTGCTTTTTGAATGGAGGGGAAGATTTGAAGCAAAGAAATTTCAGTTGGTATCTTCATGTTACACTAGCATGGGCAAAATCCAAACATAGAGATTAATGGAGACATTTAAGTCAGGCCTTTTTATCCAGGGCCTGGCATTTCTAAGAGCTCTTGGGAAAACTATGAGATAGTTTGGAGTCTGGTTAGCACGTTGGTGCTCGTAACGGCAAACAATGTGTAGGCAGTTTGAAGTGATTCTTTCAAGCATGGCTGTCCTTCCCTCTTTTCCACATGTCTTCATTCCAAATTTTCCAATCTGTTAAAGTGAGTTAAAGTTGTGAGTCTTTAAAGGCTTTCCAATATGAACATATTTCAGGAATCCCTTATCAACTGTGACCCGGTCCATGTGGAGTTTTTTAATGGATCTGACTTGGACATATAACCTCCTTATCTTCAGACCTCTTGGGCAGCAGGTTTGCTTTCATGACTTAAATGACTCAGTGCATCCAAAGAGAGCTAATCCTATTAAAGACCAGCCAGTCATTCACTTATACATTTTTACTGAATGTGTCAGATGTAGTCCCTGGCTCTGCTTGCTTGAGCACCAGAATCCTATCTGCAATATTCTCAAGCTGGACTTGAGAAATGGAACTATGCCAATACACAGGAGGAAACATTGACCTAGGGAAGCACCAGATGTTTTTGCTGAAAATGACAAAATCTACATCACGTGCCCTATGGTGTGAGATTATGTGCATGGGCATATGTGACAAAGTAGAAATAATGTATGGTGATATCATGACATTTTAAAATCAACTTCCTTTTCCTTAAGAAATCACTGGAAGATTCTCTGTTATGGCAAGAGAATGATCTTAGGTCCAGCTTTCTGTTCTTCCAGGTTGAGCTGATTTTACAGCTCTTGTCCTGCACCATGTGCACTGAGATCTAAGTCCTTATATCTGTTTTTTTATTACTGTTTGCAGAAAATTTATAATTATTCAACAGTTACCTTAAATACTCCATCTTTCTCATGGATGGATTTTCCGACAAGCACAGTCTGAGATAAGGACTTGGCTGCAGGTGGTATATTAGGGGGTGATCCCAGAAATCGTAAAACAGTGGCAAGAGAGAGAGAGAGCCAGTAACAGTACCAAAAGGCAATAATATCAAGGTCATTGTTGTAGGCAACCGTGGTTCACTTCTGCTGGGGTAGGAAACACACGGCCCCTCCAGGAATTGTCCACTGGAAGGAGGGGTGCCCAGGTGTTTACTCACTGGCTCCTGTTCTCTGGTGGTTGAGGGCTACCCAACCAACAACCTTCAGTTTATCCTTGAGCTTAGCCTCCTGGGCCTCAGAGAAGGCCCTTGGGCACAAAGGAGAGAGCCCAGACAGAGTTCTGCTGTGGTGGGCCACTGCTGATGTGCTGTGAGTCTGAGCTCATGTGGATGGTGGCCTGTGTCAGCTGTGGCTGAAATCAGTAGTGGACTGGGGGTTGTAAGGGGCACCATGTAAGGTGCCATGTGCTGCTGTGGCCATTCTTGTGAAAGCTTGTCTGGCCTAATCCGCAGCATTTATTTCGCTAAGGATTCCTCCAAGGTGGTGCCCCCATCTGCTGGTCAGTCTGTCTCTTACCCACTGTTCCCCAGTGTGTTGCCTTTCTGTTCCATCTGTGGTCTACTCTGGGCATTCTCTACCCTAAGGCAAAGTAACACCCCTCGATGGAAACTGCCACACATGATTTAGTCCAGCACTTCCCAAACGTGTTCACGCCATGGCTCATGTAGAAAATGGCCATGTTTACTTAGCACGCTGGGCAGTCAGACAAAGCTGGGCCACCTGGGCTGGTGTGCTCCTGGCTTCCTCAAGGGCCCACAGGGCAGGGCTAACCAATATCTTAGCAAGAATGGAAAGGAGTGTGCTCTGGGCACATTGGTTGGCATCCTCTGTTGAATCAGCTTTTATTTTTTCTTTTTAAATGATGTTCCGCTCTTGACTTCTTATTCCTGAATGCAGTGTAGCAAATGTTTATTTTGAAAGTCTACTGTAGCTACCAGAAAATGAAAGTAGACAAATTATACTGCCCTGGAGGGACTACAGTGGAGAGAAGATGGCACATAATCCAATAATGACACTGAATGCGGTACATAAAGTAAAGGGAGAAGTGCCTGGCAAGGCTTCTCCCCCTGAGCTGGTGCTCTGCCCGTGGTGTTCCCACGCCCTGATTCCCTGACCATTCTCACTCAGGATACCACCTGCATTACCCTTGGAGATGTATGTCTAGCTGCAGGAACTGAGGGTAACTTTACTTCTATTTGGTGACGTTATCACCTGTTTTTATGTCAGCCATCTCCACTGGCTAGAAGTTTGTGTCTCAGTTGCCAGGCACATAACCTAGCCCATAAGGCCCACTGAATGAATGGATTGATAAATGAATGAATTTCCCTTTCTTAATGTGCACCTTATTTATTGTGGAGTTTTGAGTGGCTACAAAGAATCTTTTCTCAGAAGCTTTTCCCAAAGTTTCACAGAAACTTTGAATCCCATGTTTTCAGTAATTAGCAAAGCAGGATTTGCATCTCAGGCAGTGTTCTGAAGACCACAGATTTTTAGCTCTGTCACATGTTAGTGTAAGAGCATTAGTCACTACTCTTAATTTGGCCTATGGCAGACTCTTCACTGCCCACCAAGAACTCACATACAGTCTACATAAATAACGACTGGATGAAGATAATCTGAGCTGACACTCTAGGAACCTGAGAATGAACTTACCTGGCAACATTTTTTTTTTTTTGAGAAAGCAGGATTTATTAAGAGGACAGAAGATCTCCCACAGTGGGAGGGGACCCGACGGGGTTGCCGACACTTACTTTTTAAATAGTACAACACGTAGAAAAAGACTTATTTTAAAACAGATCTGAATATCTTCCTGTGAGGTTCACAGAGTTTCCCTATTTTCTAGTAATAGACTTTGCCTATATTGAGACAACACCGCCTGGCATACTCTCTTGGTTGCTACTGCTGATGCTTGGAAATAGCATTTTTTATCCCCTGTAATTTATTCTTGTTCACAAAGCTATATTCTTAAAATGTCATTTGAACATGAAACTGTTTTTAATTGACAATGCTTAAATAAATGCTGCTTACAGCTTACAGTGGAAGTGTCGATATGTACATAACTTATTATTATTTTTAGTTTCTTTTAGAAATTGACCTGACAAGCAATATAAACAACATGTCCATTTTCTGTCTTCCTTGTCATCCCTGAATCTGAGAGTGCTCCAGGAGCATACACAAGGGCTGCAGAACCTCTGTGTTCATGTCTCCTTCCCAGTCCTGTCTCTCTGTGTCATGCACACACACACATGCACACCATGCACACACAGAGAGATATGTACACACATGCTACATGTGCATGTAGGCGGGACTTGTTCGTGAGTGTAGAAATGGCAGACATTATTGAGCTTCTTTCCACATGCCAGTTGAACAGCAAGCCAGGGCCTCCCTCGTCATAATGGCATGGAAGCAGGTAACAGAACACCAGTACAGACACAACTCAAGTTCCGTTTGCTGTGACAAGAAGCCCAACACTTTTGCTTTCTATCTCACTTTTGTATTTGAACTTTTTCT